AGTTATCCTGGATAATATCCTGAAGAGTGTTTTCCAGCTTGGTTTCATTCCCCCTGTCACTTTCAGGTACACTGATCAAATATAGATTTGGTCTTTTCACATAATCCCATATTTCTTGGAGGCATTGTTCATTTCTTTTCACTCTTTTTTCTCTAATCTGCCTTCTCACTTTATTTCATTGAATGGATCTTTAGTCTCTGATATCCTTTCTTCTGTTTGATCGATTTGACTATTGAAACTTGTGAATGCTTCATGAAGTTCTTGTGCTGCCTATATCACTGTAATTTCTGAAAAAAATATTTTAGTCCACATGGATTTCATGATACTCAAGGCATGTAACTCAGTCCTGAATTGAGTCTACTTTGGGGACAGGAGAGGAAAAAAGAAAATCAAGGTATGGTAAATTACTTCTGCAATATCCTGACAACACTAACTTTTGGATTAGAATTATAGTTCAAAGTTTCAGGATTATAGTGCAAGTAGTAGTTCTCCAGGAAAGTCCTTTTGATAGAATGAAAGTGAACACAGGACAGCAATAAGGGTCTTCTGCATGGCTTCCCTGGGTGATGCTACCATGTTATTGACTTTAAAACTTGGAAATAAACCAGGCAAAGGGCAAAACGGCAGCTAGGGGGTCTGGGTGTGATGGCTCATGCCTGTAATCCCAGCACTTTGGGAGGCCAAGGTGGATGGATCACTCAAGGTCAGAGTTCGAGACCAGCCTGGCAAACATGGTGAAATCCCATCTCTACTAAAGTGCAAAAACAGTCATGTGGTGGTGGGTGCTTGTAATCTCAGCTACTGGAGAGGCTGAAGTGGGAGAATTGATTGAACCCAGAAGAAGGTTGCAGTGAATCAAGATCGTGCCACTGCACTCCAGCCCAGGTGACAAAGCAAGACTTCATCTAAAAACAAAACAAACAAAAAAGCCAAACTTCAGCAAGGGGGAAATGTAGTGCCTGGGGAGAGGCATTTCCTAGAGTGTTATGTGGAACCTAGGTCTGCAAAGGATCTGTGGTCAAATGAGTTTATAATAGGCTATGGCAGAGTTAAATGTGTTCTTTACTGCAATGGCTGCTGTGACCCTTTAATATACTGATGTGCAGTGTGAATCTCCATATGAGAAATTTCATATGTATCATTGCCCAAAACTATCTCACCATGAAACTGTCATCTTTCAGGACTTTTTTCTTTAGAAGAATACGGTTTCAGAAATATGATAGGAATAATATGACAATGTTAGAAATATTGGGCATGTACTCTGTGCCCAATACTATTTTTGCAGATGAGGAAACTGAGATTTAATTTAATTTAAGCCACTTAGTTTATAAGTGACAGAGCCAGGTCTGATTCTAAAAAGGGATCATAACATTGCTTAACCCCACATGTGGAATTTTGAGTTTGTTCTCATACATGCAACTATGGCCATTTATTTAGTGCTTTCTATGTGGCCATCACTTTTCACAAGAAAACTGTTGTTGTTATTGTAAATGTTCCCATTACCATCATCCCAGGTCCTCATGAATAATATATAAAAATTCAGTGCATTTCCAAGTTTCTCAAAGGATTTTAGAAATGACATGTGCATGTAGGCAGCTTAGAAATGTTGAGTCATTTGGAATACTGCTTGTATCCATGTTTTACTTTGTGCATGAATAATGGCAAAAAATTGCTCAGCACTTTCCCCTACACTTCTACCTTGTTTAAGCTGCAACTGGAGAGGGTTAATATAAATTAACATAAGCTAATTCTGCACAAGAAGCTAAAGCTCATTTATCACAAGTTTCCATTTCTCAGCAAAACACACACAAATACACCTAAGTATTGGGCAAACTAAGAAATATGCTGCTGCTGTGTGGAGCAGTGATAGCTCTGTTTATATTCAGGCACAGATTCAGCAAGCAGAAGCCACCAATGGAACACAGAGGGCAGTGGCAGTCAGTCTGTCACCACTGCTGCTTCCTGCTTCCTGCCTCTGAGAAGTGGCAGAGATGGGGAAGGCGAATGTATAACATACATTTTAGAACTGGGATACAGAAATTCATTTTCCCAGAATAATATATTAATTAAGTGTAAATGATTTAGAATGGAAAGGTTTAACCTGGGGATAGGGAGAGATAAGAGGAAGGAAAGAGAAGGGAAAAGAATCTGTGCGTGTGCGCGTGCACACTTATGAAAGTTTGCTTTCTGTGTTGCTGAGAGCTTGCACAAAGTAATTTTCTCTCTTAGTTTTCCATGTATTTCAAATGCCAACCTTTTCAAGCAAGCTCAGTGTTCTTAGTTGCTTCATATCACTGGTATTCTGGTTATGCCGAAAGAGTATTTAGCTAGGAGTGCAAAGTTTAGCTTCGTTTCAACCTCTCACCATCCAAATCATCTGTGGCCCCTCTCTGAGCCTCCACTGTTCCCTGACAAATTAAGGGTTTGCATTAGAAGACTGCTTTTAAAACATCTTCCTAATATAACTTCTTTGATGTGATGATGGTATTAAGATAATAATGAGAGAAAGAGATCTTATCTTTTTGAGTTACAGGTTGTTAAATTATAGGTTTTCCAAGATTTAGTTCAGAATAATCCAGTGGTTTGACATTGTGGGGAGTGGATAAAATCAGACTGGCTGTCAGCTGATAGTTGTTGAAGCTGGGTGGTAGGTTCATTTCTGTATTCCATGTGTGTGTTTGCATACATACATATAAATATCCAGACACATATACATACATATGCATATATGTGTACATATACTTGTCTACATGATTAGTCCAACTGCTTCTTTTAAAACTTAGTGTTTTAACTTGTGCCACAAGTTAATTTATTTCTTGTGTTATAGTCTTAGTCCTAATCCCCATCCTCAGAAATATGTCTTTTACTGAAATTAGCCCAGGGTTGAGTATATAGAAAGTGTGTGTGTGTGTGTGTGTGTGTGTGTGTGTGTGTGTGTGTGTGTGTGATGATTCAAGTCTTAGTTCTTCTCTTTACTAGTTCTAAGTCCTTGTAAAACAACATTAATGAGAACTTCCAATGAGAACTTCGTTATCTGTTTAATGGGGATCATAGTCCCTGCCTTCCATTTGTGAAAATCAACCGTGATCATGTCTACAACATACGGAAGGTGTTCTCTTCCCCCGATGACATCCTACTAATTGCAGGGTGAGTTTTGAAGAATTTCTGGACTTCTTTGCCAATGGCATCGAGAGCTTTCTAATTTTGAACTGAAAGAAACTTTGTCTTGGATGTTTCATGGCAGTGAGACCCCAACCATCTTTTACACACAAACTCACCTAGTCCCATTTCAAAAGTGAGTTGATGCTTGACTTACAGGGAAGAGAAAATAGTGGGGGGTTCTTTATATTCAGTGCTTCCTGAAAGCCAACTCTCCTGAAATGCCTATTTTATGAGAAGAAAGGGTGGCTTTCATTTTTCACCAAAACTGTATGGTTAGATGGAAGTTGCTTTCCAGTATCAATACGGAGTGGCTTAGATGTAATCCTGAAAAACTCAGCCAGAGTAGAAGCCACTGAGAGTCTTGTCTTTTTAACTTCTTGAACTTTTTAACCTGGGTGACTAAAGCGTTGCCCTCTCAGCTCACATCAGAGAAAACCACAGAAAATGGTGATTAAAGGTCACCTGTATTTCTGGGTATCAGGCTTTGCTTAAGTTGATGACAGGTAAAGGTCAGCACCAAGGCTTCCATGGAGTACATGTGACTTGTCTTTTGCTACATTTGCAAAACGTCAGTTTTTAAGAGGGTGGAAATTAATTGCAAAGTCTTACAAGTATGACAGGTTTGACTGTGAGATGGGGGAAGGTGGAGAGGTGGAGAGAGGTGTTTTCCAGACTGCACTTTAAGAGGAAATTCAGGGAGGGAGATTCTTGTATGGACGCAGAGCCTTCTGGTTTGTCTGAGAAAAACTCACCGTATTTGAGAGGCTGGAGCGTCTCGGTGTGGGCTGTCGGAGCTTTTGGGAAGTTGTGGAAACATCCAGGTTGCATTTCCCTCCTTTAGCATCTGAGTGGCTGCCCTTGTAAAATATTCACTTGGACATCAGTTTCCTGTGTACAAAAATATAAGCATGTTCCATTACTTCACTGTTCTTTCTCTCATGACAACTTTCCAATTATTTTTCTCACGTGACAACTGCCGGAGTAGGGGTGAGGGGGTGGTTGAATTCACAAAAATATTTTTTTAGGTGGTTTTATTGGCCATCTGTTTGCTTAGTGGAAAAAGCTTACACTCAGAGAATAGTAAAATATAATACTAGCAGCAGTAGAAATGAAATCCAGGCTGGGCGCAGTGGCTCATGCCTGTAATCACAGCACTTTTGAAGGCCGAGGCAGGTGGATCATGAGGTCAGGAGATCAAGACCATTCTGGCCAACATGGTGAAACCCCGTCTCTACTAAAAATATAAAAATTAGCTGGGCATGGTGGTGCATGCCTGTAGTCCCAGCTACTTGAGAGGCTAAGGCAGGAGAATCACTTGAACTCGGGAGGCAGAGGTAGCACTGAGTCAAGATCGTGCCATTGCACTCCAGCCTGGCAACAGAACAAGACTCTGTCTCAAAAAAAAAAAATAATATAATAATTATATGACTTAATATGTGCCTGGCACTTTTCTCAATGCTTAACTTACATTAACTCACTTAATCCTCATCAGAACTCAGTGAGGTATGTACCTTTTTTTTTTTTTTCCACCACATAATGTACATTAAGGTGAAGTAACTTGCTCAAGACCACATGGCCAGGTAGAGTGGGACTTGAATCCAGGCAGCCTGGCCCTGGGGTCTCTGCTTTTCATTGCTTTGCTGCAGTGCAGAAACATTTGGGGTGGGAGTAGGATGGGCTCAGATGCATCCCAGGTCAGCCTTGTGATATGCATCTTGTGTGTATACCCCACCTGTTTTTCCAGGACTTACCGTGTTTGTGCATGAACCATTTAAGCATCTCACAGAGTCTCGCCTGCCCAGTTCTCTGCTCATGACCATGTCTTGTCTTCCCTCCAGCCCCGCTGGTGGACCTCACTCCAACCCACAGTGGATCTGCCATGCTGATGCTGCTCTCAGTGGTGTTTGTGGGGCTAGCAGTGTTCGTCATCTACAAGTTTAAAAGGTGCGTGTCCCTCCATCCACATCTCCCCACCCCCAACCTCTTCCTTCTCCCTGACAGGTCCAGAAGCATGTGTTACAGTGATGTGCATAGCAGTGATGGTTTCTATTAATATTTTAGGAAGATCCCGGGCATTAATGCTTATGCCCAGATGCAGAATGAGAAAGAACAAGAGATGATCAGTCCAGTCAGTCACTCTGAAAGCAGGCCCAGTGTCCCTCAGACTGAACTAAGGAGGCCTGGCCAGCTTATAGATGAGAAGGTGGAATCCCAGCTCATAGGTAAATGATTCCCAGTAGCCATCAGCTGTTCAGCTGAGTAGGCAATGGCTGACTCTCTCTCTAACCCCTTTCTGGCTTGACATAACCATTTTCTTCTGCTCTAACACCCCTGAGAGAAACAGCTAAGATGGCTCTTTCCCTGCTTCCTCTCATTGGGATGGGGGAAAAAAACCAACAACAAACCTCTTGCTTCTATCTAGTTTATTTTTTTCTCTCATTAGTTTATTCCTCCTTTTGCAAAACCCTCCCTAAAATATTGGGCTTAAAATGTCAAAATGTTACATGTTTATGGGCAAAGAGCAAAGCATTTGCTATAATAATATCTAAGAAGGAGAGGCCTCAGAGGCTAGGCTGGTGGCTCAGAGGACTGGGCAGGGTTTGCAGGACATGGTATGTATTGATTAGAATGAAACATGGTGGCCTCAACTGGATACAGCTCTAAAGAGGGCAGACTTCTTCAGAATGCTAGTAGAGGAGTGACGTAACAAGAATGGCCAGCCTCATCATCCAAGGCAAGTTTTTTTACATCTAGTGGTAGCCAGGAACTTTCTCTTAGGAGATATGGCACCTAAGAACTTGAGGACAAGAGGCATAAAGTTTGCAGATATCCAGGGAGTGGAGCAACCTCAGAGAGACCACGTTGGTGGGTGAGACTATTATATAGCAGATTAGCAAATTTCTTCCTCTTTTTTGACTGTCCCTTAGCAGAAATTGTAAAATAGACTTTCTCATATTTCAACAGAGCTCTCTCTGCCTGTAAGGTAGGCACAGGAATCCAACAAGTAGGTATGGAGAGTCTGACTTTCGCTTGCTAGTAGATCCTGCTATTTATTGCAGAAAGAATTTTCCAGGAAGTTAGACAAACCCATGAAGCCACTATTGCTGATCTGTTTCTCTCTTTGGTCCCTCCTGCCTATTGGCACTAGGAGTTAAAGACTTGTATGTATGATCACAGCCAGATCCTGCATTACTGACAACAGTGGATAAATTACCGTATAATCATTTCTGCTCCACTGTAATGTGATCATGCCAGACCACTTGGCCTTTACATAACATTTTTAATCTTACTTGGGAAAAAAATGAGTATATAAATGGAAACATGACCCTCTTTAAACAAATATGAGAAAGGTCTGTGGCTGTGTTAAGGAGAAATTTAAATGCAGTAACTGGCTCCTATCATAGGTAATGATAACAACGGCAGCCACATCTGGTGTCCAATTTTCACAGTGCACTTTCTTTTATTTGGGGAGACAAGGTAATAAAAGTATAATTGCTTGGGGTTAAAAAGAAAAAAGACTTTTCTGTCTTCCAGTCCAGAGAGGCATTCACCCTGTCTACTCATTCCTGAAGCTTCTACGTGCATTTTTTGATATCATTTGGTTCTCAGTTGCATTTCTGTAGGGTATGAAGCATAGCCTGTGTTTGCTTTATTAAAGTAGCAATTCCTCCTTTACCAGGAAGCTATCGCAGCACATTGCAAAGTCTCTGACACCTTTCCCTTTCCAGTGTCATTAAATGAGTAAGTGTTACACGTTTTCTCTTAGGAGAGTAGCTTTACCCTCCCCTCCCTCCCCTTCTACTCAACCTGGTGACTCATCTCTCCGATTGCAAAGAGCAAGACACGCCACTCCGCCTTCAACGCCAAAGCGGGGATCTGCTGGGGCACAATTTGCAATTTAAGGAAAACCCCCAAAGGCTACAGGCGACCTGCTGATCAGGAAAGAATTTCGCTCTTGTCAAGTACATCATCCTTCATGACCACTAACTTTGTGTTTTTTTCTTTCCTTTGTTGTTCTGTTTCCTATTTTGCCAGGAAGTATTTCCATAGTTGCTGAGAATCAAAGCACAAAAGAAATCCCTACCTATGTAAATGTTTGAATGGAGGACGCCAGTAAAAAAACAAAACAAAACAAAAACAAAATAATATAAAATATAAACAATCAAAATCCAAACAAACAAACACTCACTGCATCGGGACTTTTTAATTCTTCAGACACAGACAACAAGGGTTTTTAAGCTTTAAGCCTGTGCATGTGGACGATACCCTGAGAACATGTGTGGAGGGGCAGTGTACAGGTGCTCTATTTTAATGGAAAACACTCCCCTCTCCCTCTTTCTTCTCCTCTCTCTTTTTTCTGATCGGTCGTGTTTGTAGAAAATTCACAACATATATAGGCCAAGGAAATCTGCATGTATTTTTGGAAATATTCTTGGCTCTAGATTTATCAGCTATTTTAGCATTAAGGGCTGATGGGTGGATTAGCTACCCCAGCTCCTTTCATAAGACACAAAGACATGCACAGGAGTCTGAAACCCTGAGCTGTTTCTCTGTTCCACTTTCCATATTGTCATCTCCCTTCTAAGTTAGCTTTTGTAGCTCTGTTGGTCAACAGTGGCCACAAGGCTGCTTTCTGTACTCTCTGTGGCCACAGAAACAAAGATGGGAGTTAAAGATCCCTGTATGCAGGTAGAATAGGGAAGGAAGGGAGGCAAAGCACGTCAGAAACGGACCTTGGTTTTCACCTCTTTCCACCATGATTGCTTCCCCTTGCAGCTTTCCCTACTCCTGCCCCAACTGCAGTACGAAATGGAATCCCATTAGTTACCCATTTTCCTGCCTTCACATGTGTCTGTCATCCTTGTGTGGCCATGATCTGTTGATGTCTTTGAATCTCTTCCCTCCAAGCCCCAAATAAGTTGTCCTTCAACTGTTCTCAATTTTTCTTCCCAAACATGTTGCTAGATTCTGGACATTAACTCTAATGTTTTCTAAATACGGGCCTGGCCTCTGCCGCCCCTGCCTCCATGACTTGCAAGTTTCCGATCCCTCTGTCAGTTTTGTACATTCCCAAGCATGCCAGTGTCTGTGCCCATGGACCCCGCTGTATCCTGCACAGCAGGGGTCAGTTTCACGTATCCTTGCCTTTTCATCTAGAACCTGCCTTTTCCCCTAGAACCTGCCTTTTCCCACCTGGAAACATTCACTGTATGTGAAAGAGTTGATATATGCAAAGCAATTCAAACCTGGCCATGCACTTTGGAAAAGAAAGCATAGAGATGAATTGTGGTGTTCTCACAACTTAACCAAAATCTCGTGCAATCTGTTTCTAGAAGACTCTTGAGAGAAATGTTTTGAATATGTGACAATTTTGCAGGGCTGTTTCCTCCTGTGATGGTTGCTGTTACCCAACATTTCCACTCTCACAATAGAATAGAAATGTGTGTGAAATTGATTTTAACTGGAAGGAGAAGCAGGTTAATGGACTTCATGTTTAAGAGTGTCAAAAAGTCAGAGAATAAATTGGGTGGGGGGGTCTTGTCTTACATTACGGTGAGAGTTTTATATTTAGGATGATCCCAGTGATTTCATGTGTGCTCTCTGACCTCTGAGTATCATAGTGTCATTAAAGGAAAAATTTAAGTCTGTGTGACGAGAAAAGTTAGCTGATTGGTTAAAAAAAAAAAAAAAAAAGATTGGCGCAAAGCATGAAGAAATCCCAGTTTTTCCCAGGGTTATCATGAAAGAAGCTCCAGAGAAAGAGGGAAACAAAAGCCTGTCCAGCAGAGGTCCCTTTAGTATTATAGTCTGGGCAAAACCCACTATAAATTATAGGAGCAAGAAGTTCTGATAAACCTCTTAGTGAGTTCAGCCTCCTCCTTTGCTGTGTCCCTAAGCCAACAGTATAACACAGGCCCTGGTGATAATGAGGGTGTCCTGAAGATCCTGATGTTCATGACTTCACAGGAAGAATAGCAAAGCTGCTGTCAGAAACTGATCAGGCAGAGATGTTTATGGTTGAGGATACCCCGTATGAATCTGGGAAATTGGTTACGCCTGAGGCAGCCACCTATTTGTAGAACTCGATTGATTCCTAACCTGCCAGGCTTCCTATCTCATAGGAAACATCCTCATTGATCCTCTTCAGTTGGAGTCTCCCAAATTTAATCTGGAGGACAAAGTGTTGGAAAACCAAAAGAGGCTCACTCACACCAGCACAGGGAATCCTCAGAGTTGCAGTTCGATTCATCATAATTAGAAAAGTCAGAAAAAAGAGTAACAGTCTTATTCTAGCACAGTGCCTTGCCTAGAGTAGTAGTACGAAAATTATTTGTTGAATAAATGAATGGAAAGACATAGGGAAGAATAACATAGGAAAGAATAAGCTGTAAATCCTAATTAAAAATAGAGGTAGACATGAGATGCCTGGCATTTTGGAAAGTGACCAAAGATGGCCGGCTAGAGATTCAGCATCTCCAGGGTCCTCATGTGCCTCTCTTCAAAGCTCCCTCCCATCTGTAGGAGATTAGTGAGGCAAGGTACTGCTCAGAGAGGACCTCGTTGTTCTTATGACCTTGGCCAGTTGTTCTCAAAGTGTGGCACCTGGACCAGTAGTATCAGAATCACTTGGGCTTGTCAGAGATGCAAATTCTCCATCCATACCCCATACCTACTGAGTTAGAAACTCTAGGGGATGAATAGTGGTGTTCTCTGTTGCTAAGCGATAGTGAGCCTGGCCATCTATTTTAACAAGCCCCCCCAGTGACTGTGATACATACTGGAATCTGAGAACCATTGTCCTAGGCCATTCCAGCTGCATCTCAAAGAGAAGGCAGTAACAAGAGCCTACAAATGGGAGAGACCTAAGTGCCTACCTACTCGCTAACAGCAGGTGCAAACACACAAGTGGTTTGGTGGGCTTAAGGTCAGAGGAGTGTGTATGGAAGTATGTATGTGGAAGGTAAGATTCAGGGCAAGCTAAAAATCCAATACTGCAACGTTTTCCAAAATCCCAGAAGGCAAACTGTGCATGTTCTACCCTGAACTATCCAACCAACATTTTCTCCCTTGCCTTATTTTTAATTGGATTCACTGTCCAAAATGCAGAGGTTTGCTTTGCTTTTTTTTCAGAAGTTCCAAACAGCAACTTTGAGAGCAGTGGGGTGCTTGGCAGCTGTTCTATGTTTTCCAGGAATCCAACTGAGCATTGAAATCTCTCATTTGCCAACTTATTTTTATAGGAAGCCAATTAAAAAAAAAAGTTTTCTTATAGTATTGGAACTACTTCTAATTTTAAAATGACTTTTTTGATGTATTTTTTGTTAAATACTCTGTAGTGTAATGTATAATTGCTCTTGTTTATTGCTTTTACAATCATATTTATTAAACAGATAATGTCTCTAAGTCTTTGCCTCAGGTATTGTTTTTTTTTAAACCTAAACCCTTGGTGTTCATTCTAAATATAGAAGTGTTACATTATAGGATTTCATGAACGCTAATTGCATAAGAAGTAGTAAACACCACAGGTTTGAGGGGTTTTGCTTGTTTTTTTTTTTTTTTTTTACTAACAAGGCAGAATGTATCTACTACCTGAATTCTACTTGCATTTCAATGAACTCTTCAGTCTGTTACTTTATTAAATTACTTTGATTTAAAAACTAGTCCAAACTAGTTTTTTTAGAATGAGTATGTATTCATTATTATTAGTTCAGAATTAGAAATTATTGATGGGGAACAATTCCATTCAAATTTGTTCATAACCTTGTGGTTACTGAAAGACCAAACCTGCATGAAATGAACTGAAACATGGGGAGTGGTAAAACAGCAGATGAGTGAAAACAGCTGTGGACCTGGAAGCAGGCAGGAGGAGTTCGCCTCTGGCTATGCCAGCTGTGTGACCTTGAGCAAATCATTTTAACATGTAAGAGCTTTAGGGCTCTGATGCATATAATTTGGACACAGAAGATCCCTTCCAGCTCTGCCTTTCCAAATACTATGAGTGGGTGAGTCATTCCCAAGAGTCCCAAATAGTTGGCTGAAACATTTGTACAGACATAAAACCCTCCTTAGTCTTCCCAAAGGCCTGCCAGACACAGAGTGGTGTTGCTTCATTGGCTCAATCATTGGCATGTGTGAAAGTCCCTGTTGCTCTAGGTGACCCTTAACCTTTCCATTCCCACAGACTAAATTTCTGAATCTTCATTCCTTTCCAGGCCAGATCCCATGCACCTCCTTCCTATCAGGGGCAATTTATCCCCTGTGTCAGGCAAACAGAAAGCATCCCTATACATGTCCAACACAGGGGAGTTAATACAGAAAATTTGTTGCTGGGTTAATGGAAGAACAAAAATCCCAAATCAGAGCAGGTGAGGCAACCCTAAGATTTGCTTCAATAGGACGCCTCTCACTTCCCAGTGATGGAGGATGCAAGTATCACCAGAGCCCTGCAGCCAGCACCACCAGGTTGAAGCTGAAGTCACGGAGGACTTGTCTGGCAGGAGCTGTAGCCATGGAGGAGACATGACCACTACCTGTCCTGTGATGCTGCCTAAACAGAGGAGTAGGAAGAAGTAGCTTGCTTTCTCCCTTGCTCTGTTCCTCTCAGCTCTTGCCAACCCTTTTAACTGCACAACCCAGTCACAAGCCAGTCGGCAGTGGAGCCTGGGAAATATTTTCTGGAATACTCCCAGTGGGGAGTGGGAAATGGATTTGATAGTACACAGGCAGGTGACTGGCACAGCACCCCTTTCACGGCCAGCCCATATCATAACCGGTGTATCTCCCCCAACCTTAATGCACCAGGTACGGTAGCTTGCACCTGTAATCCCAGAGCTTTGGGAGGCCAAGGCGAGTGGTTGGGTGAGATTGCTTGAGCCCAGGAGTTCCAGCCTGCAGTGAGCTGTGGTCATGCCACTGCACTCCAGCCTGGACAACAGAGCAAGATCGTGTGTCTAAAAAATAATATGTAATCCCAGCACTTTGGGAGGCCGAGACTGGCAGATCACATGAGGCTAGGAGTTTGAGACCAGACTGGCCACATGGTGAAACTCCATCTCTACTAAAAATACAAAAATAGCCGGGTGTGGTAGTGCACGCCTGCAATCCCATCTACTCTGGAGGCTGAGGCACAAGAATCACTTGAACCCAAGAGACAGAGGTTGCAGTGAGCTGAGATTATGCCACCACATTCCAGCCTGGGCGACAGAGTGAGATTGTCTCAAAAAACAAAACAAAACTAAACTAAACTAAAAAACAATAAATAGTAGGTGCTTCTTTCTCTGCCACTTTGTTCACTTACTTCCCTTTAAACATCACATATTTAGAACTTGGCTGTATGCAAATATGTGGCACTTACGCCTTTCTCACCAAATTCTACACTCCTTTAAAGGAGGATCTTTATTATTATTATTTTCCATTTTATTCTTAGCATTTAGGACTGGGCATTGCCATTAGGGGGCACTAGATAAATGTCTGCTGGAACTCAGCCCTTGATTTTCGGCTTCCTGTTGTGAGCAAGTCCATTTTATTCAGCGATGATCGCTGAGGTGGCTTCACAGCTAGCACCTCTAATTACATGTTCAGCTGGTGCTTGTCAAGAATCAACATATTCTGTTACCACTCAAGCTGCTGTATTCCCGGAGCTATTCTTAGATATTAATTTAAGTGAAATAATTGTAGTTTAGGAAGAAGAAGAAGAAAAAACTGACTAGAAACTAGCATAAAAACAAAGGTCTAAGTTTGATTCCCGGATTACTATTTACCTATTCCCCAAGGAGTTAACAGTGCTGTGAAAATGCATGTGCGTCTGAGGCTTGCATAGTAAGGAAGTGTCAATTCCAGATGGACAAATACAAGGAAATGGCTGTTATAAAGTTTTCATGTTAAACACGTGAAAAGGGACCCCTGTTTTACAGCATACAGATAGTTATTGATCAGTATGCTGTGGCCGCTGCTTTAGGTGTTAAGAATCTTTTGTGAACAAGGCCGATAACACGTCTGCCTTTATGAAGTAATATCTGAATAGGAGCAATGAACAAATAGTATGATTTAATGTAACATATGCAATGCTGTCCTACATGTAATTTCAACATATCAAAATGTAAAGCGTGGTAGGTGACAGGTTGGCCAGAGTGACTGGGGGTGTGGGGCAGGAGACGGGAAGCATTGGTCCTCGGAAAGAAAAACGTCTAGATGCTGAATGAAAACCTTTTCAGGATCTGAAGGCTAAAAAGGAAACAGCTACTTAGACACTGGCTAGAAACTAGCATAATAGCCTGGTGATACCTGTGTCTCTCCACTTAGACACCTGCATTGTCCCAATATGTTCAAAAGCAACCTTAGAACAACCGCACCCAGGAAACAATTTTGAACCTAAACAACAATTAGAAATGTTTCTGAGTTTAAAGGAAAATAGCTCTTCCAAGGCACATGCGCGGGGTCTTCCCCAGAGATCATATATACAGTCAGCTGTACTATTATGTAATATACGTGTTTCCAAATTCACCTCACTATGCCAAATGGCATAAAGAAGCCCATGAAGCTTAGAGGAAAAGGTGGGGTTGGGGCACAACACACAAAAACTTTGTCATATCTCAGTGTAATATGTCTCCGGACACATTTTTAAAAAGGAACAAACCAAATAGAAATGGTAGCATAGTTTTACACACACCGAATGGTGAAGAAATACACAAAACACTTACCTTGAAAATACTTGAAGTTTGCTTAGAGTGGGTGCTGGAATCCTTACCGCATGTGAGTTGTTATGAAGTGGTAGAAGGGAAGTTACCTAAAATCAGACAGAAATTTGTAACATCAAATATAGATAATACGGCCGTAATACACAAGGCAAGTGGAAGCATCTGGTAGACGTTTGAGGTGTATGTGTGCGTGTGTGCACGCGTGCTACGTGTTTTTACACAGCTGGTTTTGGCTGAGTGTCGTTTTCTGCATTCAGTTTTTCTCATTGAAAAAATCATGCATAAGCAAACACAGCATTTGAATTATCCTCAATTATTCCCTAATATATCAATTACATTAGAACAAATTTACATTTTCAAAAAATGCTTGATAACAGAACTGACTGTAATTGAGGTGGTAGTTTGAAAGTACTGTAGAGGGAAGAAGCCCTACCTGACAGCAGAGGAAAAATATAAGGAATTACTGCCAATCCTTATTAAAATTGTAATCTCAGACTGAGGCCTTTTGGTATAGGGACCAGCAGCCCTGTTCACTTACACAGACCTTAGATCATCCAATTTCCACCTACCCCAGCAACAAATATGTAGAAACAGGCTTTGGCCCAAAGAATGTTAAGTTGTGGTCAGAACCCCTTGTTAAAGAAAAACACGGCTGGCTGGGCACAATGACTGACACCTGTAATCCTAGAAATTTGAGAGGCTGAGGTGGGTGGATTGCTTAAGGCCAGGAGTTTGAGATAAACCTGGGCAACTTGGGGAAACCCCTTCTCTAATAAAAATACAAAAATTAGCTGGGTGTAGTGGCACACCCCCGTAATTCCAGCTACTCAGGAGGCTGAAGTATGAGGATTGCCTGAGCCTGTGGGACAGAGGTTGCAGTGAACCAAGATTGCACCACTGCCCTCCAGCCTGGGCAACAGGGCAAGAGACTGTCTCCAAAAACAAGCAAACAAAAAAACATGATATGACAAAGACATTTATAAAGTATTTGAAGGAAAGTAAAACAGTTACAGATTTGAAATGTTTAAAAAAATCTCAAGGCCTCTAGATAATCATAATACACTTTATAAACAATACTAAGTAAATATTTCAATGTATGCATTTATATTTATCTTCATACTTCCTGTTTATGTGAATAATAACAGCTTATAGATGCAGAAAAAGGAGTCATTAAGTATTATGTATAAACTAGTTAACAATAATATATGCATATAATAAAATACAGTGTTTCCATTAAAATTCTCTTTCTAAACAATATTTAAGGACATGAGCAATTTTTCATGTAATGTTAAGAGAAAGCAGAATGTAAGACTTTACATATTATAATTTGTACAGAGAATAAATAGGGACAGAAGAAGATGAAAAATAGTAACACAAGTTATTTCTAACTTGTAAAACTATGAGTGTTTCAATCCCTTCATCTTTGTTTATATATTTTTCAAGTTATTCTAGTATTTGCTAATTAATTTTGTAATTATTGCAAACAATATATTTAATGATATGTAATGTTTATAGGAAAATTCATAATTGTTGATAGCATATACTTAAATTCCTTTAATAAGTTAAAAACAACTTCTCTAGGTAAGACAGTTTTTTTTAACCTTGTTTATCGATTTAAATTCGTATTGAGAGACAAATATTATTTTGCAATTATGACACCTGCAGGTTAACTCATGAGATTTCAACTGTTTAAAAATTTTAAACTGT